GCCAAGTTTCTCCTTGAAACTACCCTCACTCTTACCTCTTTCCTGGAGGCACCACCCACCCAGAGACTACATCCCTCTGCCCATTCACTTACTTTTCAATTATTCGCTGAGTAGTTGGGAACCGCAGGAGGCTTAGAACAGAGCTATAGTGTCCCTGTCTTTCTGAAAGCATGAGGGACACAAAGTGAGGCTGGGAAGCCAGTGGACTCAAATAACGAAGGCTCTTACAGGGCTAGATAAGGAGTTTAAACCCATCTTATAGACAGCAAGGTGTGTCAGAAAGTTTTGAAGGAAGGGCATGGCACAGTCAGTTTGCCTAATAGGAGGTCACCCTGGGCTCAGTATGGAAGGTGGCCTGGAAGGGGTTGGCAAAATGGGAAGCAGTCAAGAGGAGGTTGAACAGTGCAGGTAGAGGCAGAGAGTCTGCCAAGGGCAGAAGGAATGCTGCGGGAGGGAGCAAGGTCATGGGCATTTGACACACACACAACTTAAAAGACTTGGTCAAGTAAGTAAAACACCAACAAAACAATATACTTCTCCCCCAAAGCTGCATTCTATTCAACTATTATTAATAACTGATTTAATTCTATCCATTCCATTTTACAACCTCTGTCTCCTGCAATTGTCTGGTCCTGGTAACAATTTTATTGGAGCATAGGAGGCACATTATAAATACATTTTATACTGCACATTGTATTTGAAGCAAATTTGAGACATCTCTGATTAGGTGCCTTCCCAACGATAGCCTTGTTCAGACAGATAATTGCATGCTGATTTTTATTTTATTTTATTTTATTTTAGCTTTGTTCTCTCCCCCTTAGCAAAGCTGCAATCTTGCATACACACGTCAGTGGATAAAAACCCTTGAAAATAACTCTTCAGAAGAAATCTAATTTACTTTTTAATCTGGTTCGGAAATTTGCCAGAAAAATTTCCACCGACAAGCACTGCCATTTATTACCACTTATCACACAGCCGGGCTCTGCTCGAGTTCCTGATGGGGCTAATGTAACAGGGGAGGAATCTTCTGATACATTATTTATTCGATACAATCCCACCAGATAAGATCTATGGGCAGGAGAGGACAAAGTTTGACCTTATCCTCTGTCTAAGGGAAAGTAAGGGGTCTTCATTTTTGCTTGTTTGAGGACCATGCCCTTGGAAAATTCTAAGCTTCCCTTAGAGCTCCAAGACTATCACACCACAGAGACCTGGCTTTGACTTTGGTTTCTTCCCCTGAGATCCACACCACCCACTTACACATTTGCTTGTGTTAGACCTTGAGATGATTTTCAAGAGTTCCATGCTTGTTCTGGGACCTGTTTCTTAGGGACAGAGACAAGAGGGACATTTAGCAAAGGTCTATCCAAGCTCAGATTGGGGTGGCTCCGTGTTGAAGAAAAAAGATTGGTATGGGCCAGCTGGTGGCCTTGGGCTGGTGACCTTGGGTCCTCATCTGTAAAATGGGAAAGGGGATCTCTGCAACCCTGTCAAGCTTTCATGGTCTGTGGAGACAGCCCAAGACTTCGGGAAGAACAGAGGACTTGAGTCAGAAGGCCTGGAGCTGAAGTTTTGGTGTAGCAGCTTCCTGGCTGGCTGATCTTCAGCAAGTTGACATCTCTGAGCCCCTGTCTTCTGATGCATCCACTGTGAAAACAGCTCATGACATCATTATGATGATAATGATTATGGAAACTTTGCAAATAGCCACGAAACATGTAAGCATATAATTATCATGAATCGATTCATTAATTAGTGAAAATACATGATGAGATATTTGCAGAACCCACTCAGAAGGAAAACCTGGAGAGAAGTGAAGCTGGGAGTAACCAATGGGGCTTTCTGTATGCCTATCTCCAACCTCAGCTGAAAGATACTCCAGGCTAGCCTTAGTTAAAAGGAGACTCCTGCACTCTGGTGCAAAGTGTATTTTTTTTTTTTTTTTTGCATTCATCCCTAACAGATATTCCCAGAGATCTCTGGAGCTCCCAGGAACTATAGAACTGGGATTTAGTCTCCACCTCACCCTACCCAGTTTCCTAAAATTACAAAGGTGAAAGATCTTTGAACACTGGAGAGAACTGGGTTGAAATGTTGACTGTGGGCATACTGAAATCTATAAGAATTTACTTAACTCTTCAGAGCTTTAACCCTCATCCCTCATCTATAAAAGGAGGATATTAGCACTAACCTCATGGAGCTGTCATGAGGGGTCAGTGGCATATGTGATGTCACCCTTTTAGGCCTCAGAGATCCACCACCAGTGAATTAAATTCTAAGAGAGGTCCTCTTCTGCTTAGAAACCCTTGTACTCTTGTTATGCTTAAGACCATGTCTGCCATGTTGAAAGAATCCAATCAGTACTTGTCAAATGAATGAATGGATGGATGGACAGATGCAATACACAGCAGTCAGGGTTGTGAACTGAAGAAAATGTATGTAATATTCTTGATCAGGAAAGATAGTCTTGAGTCCTAAATCAATTTTTGAATCTTTGTGCTATGCTAAGTCACTTCAGTCATGTTCGACCCTGCATCCCTATGGACCGCCAGGCTCCTCCATCCAAGTGTTTCTCCAGGCAAGAATAGTGAAGTGGGTTGCTCTGCCCTCCTCCAGGGAATCTTCCTGACCCAGAGAGCAAACCCTCATCTCTTATATCTCCTGCATTGGCAGGTGAGTTCTTTACCAGTAGCGCCACCTGGGAGGCCCTTTGGAATCTTTATGTCCTCCCAAATCTGTCTCCTACTTCTTCCAGGCGTCTTGCCATTCCTGCTCCCCTTTCTCATCATCTTGGCCTCCAAAATGTTCCATTACTCTGACCCTCACCCTCCATGCTTTTCTCTCCTCAGCCAATGGGTTTGCCCACAGAACTTTCTCCCTGTCTCCCTGCTTTCTGTGATGCCTTCTCAGAGCTATGCCTCCTGTGGGAAGAGTAAATATAGAAAAATGACAACATGTACGTTAACGCTCGTTAGAATGTCATCATTATACCCCACAAAGTGTCTGCCGAGGGGGTCCCTAAAGGGCACTTAGAAACGAAGCAGCTGCTCCAGCTTTGTTCCAGCTCACATCTCGAAGAAATGACACTGAGATAGATGCAGTGATGTCTGGCTGGAGGAAGGGGAGAGAGCAGTGCTTCTTTGGAGGAGGAAATGGTGATGCGAGAACCCACACTTTACCCCATGCGCCCAGGACAATCAGTGAGTGAGACAGACGGAGAGTATGGGAACTCAGGGAGCAGGCCAGGCTGCAGAGCTGGGGCTGGGGTGTCCCACTCTCTGTAGGGAGATGGAGGATAAGGAGCTAACCCTCACCCCAACCTCAATCTTAGACCAGCCTCGGGAAGAATCACCTGCTCCTCTTCAGTGTGCGTGTTAAATTGCTCAGTCATGTCTGACTCTTTGTGACCCCATAGACTGTAGCCTGCCAGGCTCCTCTATCCATGGGATTTCCCAGGCAAGAATACTGGAGTGGGTTATCAATTCCTTCTCCAGGGGATCTTCCCAACCCAAGGATCGAACCTGGGTCTTCCGTATTGCAGGCAGATTCCTTACCATCCGAGCCACCAGGGAAGCCCCCTCTTCATCAGTAGTGAGACACAAACTACTGTGGGAATGAGGAAAGCATTATTCTACTTACTTTTCTACCAGAAGTAACTGGACAAGAGTTGTAGAGAGAAGGGGAGGCAACATAATATCGAAGTCTTGAATCTACTGACAAAGGGTACCAACTAATCTCCTTCATAACTCTGCTCATCCACTCAAGACACACCCACAGGACACCCATGCACCCTACACACACTTCTGCCCACAACTGGTCAGTAGCTGATCCAGCAGCACAGCCAGTGGCCCGGCATCACAGGTCCCTTCATCCAAGTGTCTTGAAAAAGTAGGTGGCAAGGTTCATAAAATGTAACATTTGTCATATATAAAGACAATTTTGAGCCTCAGGTATAATATCACTGCTCTAAGTTCAACTAATTTATACCAGCTATGGTTGTATAGCACTTTATGTTTATACAGTCTTTCCCATGTACACACTACTACATCAGATTCTCATTATTCCCCTCTGAAACAAACAGGGTGAGTGCTTTTATCCCTATTTTACAGATAAGGAAACTGAGGAACAGACTTTTCAATTACACACATACGTACACCCTGCCTACCACCCCCATCCCACCTCTTTCCCCAGGACTCAGAAGGTTGAACCTAAATTAATTTTCTTTAGACCCTGCTGCCTTTTCCTACTATGGTCAAGCACTGATTGGTTTGATAATTCCTTTTAAAATCTCCTTGTCATACTTTGTTGAGTGTTCCTATGTACCAGGGAGGATGCAAAGTTGTCTGGTCTCTGCCCTGGAAATGTTATGGTATCATGAGTAGGTGAAGGCATCTAAATTCGTTGTCTCAGCCTTCTCCTCTATAAAGTGGGGATAGTGGTGATGTCTTCATGGTTATAGTGAGGATTAAATGAGATAAGGTCTGTAGGGTCCTTGGAACAATGCCTACACATACCAAACTCTTATTATTCTTGTTACTGATTGCAATGAGTATTATGAGGGAGGTATTCTACTAAAGCTGTGGATGAGCTGGGCTTTTTGTTGTTGTTCAGGTGCTCAGTTGTGTCTGACTCTTTGCGACCCCATGGGCTGCAGCACCCCAGGGTTTCCTGTCTTTCACCATCTCCTGGAGCCTGCTCAAACTCATTTCCATTGAATTGGTGATGCCCTCCAACCACCTCCTCCTCTGTTGTCCCCTTCTCTTCTAGCCTTCAATCTTTCCCAGCATCAGGGTCTTTTCTAATGAGTTGGCTCTTCGTATCGGTGGCCAAACTATTGAAACTTCAGCTTCAGCATCAATATTTCTAATGAATATTCAGGATTGGTTTCCTTTAGAATTGACTAGTTTGATCTCCTTGCTGTTCAAGAGACTCTCAAGAGTCTTCTCCAACACTACAGTATTGCGTTATGGGAAATCTGAAAAAGATGGAGCTATCGTTGTACTCAGTGGTCTTTAACTAAAGAAAATGGGTGGGAGAAAGAAGCAATATGCATGATTTTATGTCAGTGGAGAAGATGGTTTTGTATTGGGTTGGCAAAAACCTTTGTTAGAGTTTTTCCATAACATGCTATGAAAAAACTCAAATGAACATTTTGGCTAACCCAATTCTTTTATGCACTTACCCGGGAGATGAGGAGGAATCTAATTTGAGCCACAATCATCAACTCGGCAAATATACACCACCAGTTCCTATAAGTGGAGAGATGGGTGACGTGGTGTCTGCATTCACAGGTCAGTCCAGCTGAGGAGGCTGCATAATGGGAGAGAGAAAGAAGGAAGAACACCTGGGTGGGATGAACTGCACATGCAAAGACGTGTCTCTGGGAAGAAGCATGGTCTTTTTGTCCACGAGATAAAGAGAGGAAGACAGTAGTCAATTTTTAATTAGAATAAGCACTTGGATAACTATAGTCCTCAGACCAGAAATTATTTAGCTTCTTGTATTATTAAAACAGATTTTCCTTCACCAATTAGGCCCCTGAGACTTAAGTGTGCATGAACAAGTCACTGAGAAGTAAACTCGAATTTTGAGCTAGTAGTCTTAGGGGAAATGCGCTCTGAGAATAAAGTCTCAAGTTGAAGCAGGAAGAAATGGAAAACCTGAGAAGACAGAACCTGGTCACAGCCTGGAGCTGCTCCAAAACCCTTCCCACCTGGTCATAGGAAGCCCATGAGCCACTATCTCTTCTCCACTTCTCCCCTGACAGTCATTTGTGTTGCAGCCACATCCATGCCAGGAAAGGATACCCAGATAGAGTATCTTGCCTTGAGACCAAGGGTAGGAGATTAGAGGAAATGGGCAACTCTGCCTTACTGTCCTCCTTTGATCAATGCACCTTATCAAGTAAGTTCGTTTGCAGAGCTTAGAGATGACCGCGTGGGAGTAAGGGAGGAGTTAGTGTATCAACCCCATTTTCCCCAGCTCCCTCAGCCAGCCATCTGGAGTAGATCATAGAGGGCTCTGGATGTTGGCTGAGTAGCTTGGACAGAGGTAAACAAACTGAGAGCCAGTTTACAGGACAGCATGCGGAAGGTGGAAGTGATGTAGATGCATGTCAAGGGGATGGGGATCTTCTTTGCAGAGGAAGATCTGTTGAGCCAGAAAGAAGGCTTGTGGGTGGAAATGGGCTTTACATAGACAGACGGCAACAGATGCAGGCTTTAGGTAAGTAACAAAGAAGCAATTCTGCATTATACCCCAGACTTTTAAGTCCTACTCAGAGAAAAAACATTGATAAGAGCCCATTCTTTTAATTCCATGAGTTCTACAGAGCTGGCCCCTAATTTAGCCAACCTTTATTAAATACCATCATGTTCAGTGGGCTTCCCCAGTGACTCCGTGGTAAAGAATCCACCTGCAATGCAGAAGTTTCAGGAGACCCTGTCTCAACCCCCTTGGATCAGGAAGATCCCCTGGAGGAGGGCATGGCAACCCACGCCAGTATTCCTGCCTGGAGAATCCTGTGGACAGAGGAGCTAGTGGGCTACAGTCCATAGCATCTCAAACAGTCAGACATTACTGAAACAACTTAGCATGTAGTACGCATGTTTGGTGTGCAAAGATGAATAAGACATGGCATTACCTACACAATCCAGCAGGGCGAGTGGATGTGTTTACAACAACCAATCACCCATTGGGAAAAGTACTATTCCAATGGTATGTACAAAGAACATGTAATTCTGCTTGAGACAACTAGGAAAAGGAAATGGTACTTAAGTTAGTTCTTCAAGAATTTTAGTAATTAATAAGAGTTTGTAACATAGAGAAAGGTCTGTGGACCTACTATATCGCCTTTGCTTTACCATGTGCGTGTGTTCACTGTTCTCCTGCCGGGCAAGTACTATTTGGGATAAAAATGCAGTGCTTTGCCTTCTCTCAAGGGTTTAAACCACTCCTGCAAATGACCTGGACAGTAACTGAGATTTCTAGAGGGAAGGAGCCAGGTTTATACTCTTCCTGAGTAAGTGTGGCTCTCTGAGTGGCAGGGGGAGTTTCACTCTTATCTTTCTTAGAGTTCCACATTATCATATCTCTTTTTTATGCTTGAAGGGAAGTTGTTTGAATTGATCCCTCTCTGGGGGCCCCCAAATAGATGATTTTTTTTTTTCCCTTCATCTCTGTGGTGTTACCATCAGGAACTGTGCACAAAATCTCTCCAGCATCGCCTGTGACTTGTGCTTCTCATCATTCTTTTGATCACTCAACAAACATTTATTGAATACCAACCATTCCCTGGTGGCTCAGATGGTAAAGAATACAACTGCAATACAGGAGAGACCCTGGTTCAATCCCTAGGTCGGGAAGATGCCCTGGAGGAGGGAATGGCTACCTACTCCAATATTCTTGCCTGGATAATTCCATGGACTGAGGAGCCTGATGGGCTGCAGTCCATGAGGTCACAAAGAGTAGGACGTGACTGAGCAACTAACACACAGGCACATGCATAGCCATCCACCTAGTCTGGGCACTAGGAAGACAACAGTTAAAAAATAAGCCCTGTCCTTACGGACTTTACAGTTCAGTGGGAGACTCAGACAGTACATAATTAACCAAATAAAGATGTTAATGTAATGTCAGGCAGTTGTAAGTTCTTAGGAAGAAAAACAGTATAGTAGGAGGCTATTCAAAATGCTGGGCAGGGGGTTGTAAGGTCAGGGACATCTCCCTCAGAAACTGATATTAGAGGATGAAAGATATTCTAAGCCAGAGAGATGGAAAGCAGGACTATTCTCAGAATACTTGATGAACAGAAAAGGAGAGAGTGTGGCTGGAGTGGAGTGCACTAGGAAAACAGTAGTCATTAACAAGTCTCTGGGATGAGGTCATTTAGATCTTTCAGGCTGCATAAAGACTTAGGATTTTATGCTAGCCGAAGGGAGATGGTTTTGGAAAGCTTTGACCAGTGGAGGAACATGGCATAATGAATATCTTCATAGGGTCATGTCGACTGCTTTGTTCAGAATACACAAAAGAGAGTCACGAGAGGAGACAGATTAGAAGGCTGATGTAGAGACTGAGCAAGAGATGGTGGTGACTTAGGCTTGAGAGGTGGTGTGGAAGGTGGTGACAAGTGGTCACAGAACATGTTTTGGTGGACAGGTCAAGAAGACGTATTTAAAGGATTGAATGCAAAGAATGGGAGAAACATAAAAATCAAAGATGATGACAAGAGTTTTAACCAAAAGCAACTGAGGGAATGGAAGAGTTACTTATGAGATCTGAAGACCAAGGGGAGATTTTGGACTGGGGCTGGTGAATGCCAAGTTTGATTAGGGAAGTTTCTATCAGGCATTCAAGAGGTAAAACTGAGAAGGTCAAGGAGGTACGGACTGATGACTTCAAAAAGTTGGGTGATTTTAGAGAGGAGGAAGAATTAATTTGGATAGAGTACTGAGTACCATGGAGAGCAGACACCACAGCCCCAAGAGGGTAGGGAAGAGTAGGAGCAAAAAGAGCATCATTGAATGGATTTCAGGGAGAGATAAAACCCTCAGGGAAGAGCTAGTTTCAGTTAGAGCAAGAAGGTGATGGAGCTGCTCAGACATGAGATTGAGGATGTAGGGAATTTTATCAAAGATGGGGCACATCTCCACAGTTCTCCATGGAAAGCTCAGAGTTTGGGCATCACTGTAAGTAACAGACAAGAGGAAATCCATGAGCCTCAGAGAATCATGGATAAGGAAGAAGTTTTAAGGCAATTGGTTTCTTTGCAAATCATGGGAAAGTGATTGCAGAACAACATAAGGAAGAAGCCCGAGTGAGGACTCCAAACAATCTCAAGGATTCACTTCTGGGCACAAGTTCTGGGCATCTCATGGTCACGCCAGCATTGACTGGAATTAAAAACCCTGCTAATAACGGCTATATTCTGTTCTCACTAATCTCTCTTCCTAAATGCCCAGAGGTGTGTGGCCTCTCCTTCTCAGGTTAGGGAAAGGAGTGTGGTCATCGCAAGTTCTACCCCATGTCTTGAGGACAGAGGTTGAAAAAAAGAAAATCAGAAATCTAGAAGAGCTTACAAAAGAATCACAAGCCGTAGGCACTTGGAAAGGAAACTATCAGTCCTGGGCCCTGAAGATGAAGCCCAACACATGGGTCAAATAGGCTGTGAGTATGAAAGGGTTTAGAGAAACTGGAAGCCCACTGGACAGCCAGGGTGGCCAGGAAAGACTCACAGGGAAGGTGGGCCTCAGGGGGGTCCCCAAGAATGAGGAGTGTCTGCTCCATCACCTGGAGCAATGGACGGGGAGGTCACCTGGGTGGATTTGCATCCATCAATTCAGTAGTGTGCCTCTGGGTGAAAAAGAACCATTTGCTCTTTATCATTATCCTTAATAATTCTAAATCAGGAGGTGATGGAAAACCAACTCAAAGCTCATTTCAGAAGGATGTGGAAAGGGGGAGGCAGCAGGAAAACACATCAGAAAACAAATTCATCTTCTTGGCACAGAGACAAAGGACTAGGGCTTAGTCCAGAGCTACAGAGACTGATCCTTTCAAGGCTGAGCCAGTTTTTCAAGACATTCAAGTCAAGTAGTGATAAAAATCCCACTATTCACTGTTATATTAATGGCTTCTCCACTATATGCAGATAGGTAAAAGCATCATATCTTTATTTGCATTTCTTTTTCTATTGCCTCCAGCTCACTGAATTTCTTCCTTATCTGCCAAGAAATGTCTACTTTTAAGGTATTCTTTCATTTCCTCATGCCATTGGCTGTCAAACGACTTAATAACTTGCCTATCATGGAAGTCAAATATGGTTTATTAAAAATGCATGTCTCACTCAATGAGATGCCCTTTGGCGGTCTTCAGACCTTGACGACTCTGTCTCAAAGCTTGGGAGCACAGAATGGTCTTGGCTGGCCAGCTGCACTGCCTTGTTCTGTAACTTGCTCATTTCTGCCCAGATTATGCTGAAGCGGCACAGAGAAGGGAGGTAGGACCTGTCCAAGGAGGTGGAATTGGACTGCTTAACTGACTTGAGGAAGTGGGATGTAGGCCCGAAACCCCCAAGTGCCTGAAGATTTCCAAGTCATCCGGCCAGGTCTCAGGGAAAGAATTTGGGAATGAGGGTAGAACTGGTACCCTGAGATAGGAGGGAGGGAGGGAGAGAGGCATCTCTGGAGGGAATGGCATCAAGCGGGAGTGGGCTGTGTTGACTCAGTGCACTGGGATGATGAATCATGCCTGGGATGGCTCACGTATCAAGGCAACATCGCTATTTACAGGGGCTAATGAGGCATCTGCGGCCACACACTCAGAGTCTGAATGCTGTCATGGTGGAGGAGCAAGCAAGGAGCCTGAGCTAAAAACACAAAGGGAACTGGAGGTCGCCTTTTCCATCCTCTGTCCAGCTGTCCAAAAGCAGCAAACCACTTCATCAGGATATACTGACCCTTCTCCCAAATGATCTCAGAGCAGCCCTGCAGCTTCCCAGGCTGATGTTCTCCAATGACCTGTGAAGCTGCTACTTGGAGCCTCAGCTAATCCTTCATTCTTCATTTTTCTGTACATAACAGAGATGAGAAACACCTATGCTGCCTCATTTTGTATACCATCCCCTCCACTACTTACAGACTCCACTCCATCTCACCTTAGTCTCCTCTTCTTGACTCTAGTTAACCCGCACCTCTTCCATGAGAGCATTGCTCATTGCTGTCCTCCAGATGATTGTTTCTGGCATCTTATTGTTAAAGGGTCTGCTGTGTTCTACTCTTTCTGCTCAGGACAACAGAGATGGTGGAGAGCCCCAGCCACTCTGCCCAAGAGAATGGAGATGCCACACCCAAGCAGAGACTCGATGCCATAGAAAGACCCAGAGGGGCGCTCAAGGGCCCACAGTAGGAAAGCACAGTTACTCAGCAGGGAGAAGGCAGGGGTTCCTCTGGAGGAGAGAGAAATCTGGGCTATGGGAGTGGATAAGGGGAAGATATGAACGACAGGAGGAAAAAATAAGGGGGAAGGTGAACAAAACGAAGGGAACGAAGGGAGGGACCTGTGCCATGAGACAGAATGAAGAGAAGGAGAGGAAAAGGCATTGGGGAGAAGGTGAGGAACCATGGAGGAGACAGAGCAAGATCAAGGTCCAGAGAGGGGGCCAGAGACCAAGGGCTAGAGACAAGAGGAGAGGGCAAGGAGTGTGAGCTTTTGAAAAGGTACACAAATCCATGGCTGGGCTGAGCGAGGGGAGGATGGCTCAGCCTGGTCTGCCCAGGGACACGTGCCGATCCTCTGCTGAGACCATCGCCAGGGAGTCACCCCGGCCAAGCAGCTGGAAGAGCGATCCCTCATGTCCTCTGCCTGGAACTCCTTCGTCACCTGGGGTGATGGGTGGCCAGGTGCTGACATGGCGTGACTTGGGCTTGGAGGTGTCATGAGCTTCTTCTGTAAGAAGCCCCCGGAGAGATGACTGGGAGATTGGGACTGACTATGTATGAAGTCAATGGCCTGTGAGGGTCTACTGTATCACACACGGGGGAGTGGGGGAAGAAGGTACAATCTGTTTATAGGACATTTATTAAGTTAACCTTAAAAATGCATTCCACTCTACAGTGAAAGTGAAAGTCTTCTTCCCTCAGGCATGTCTGACTCTTTGTGACCCCATGGACTGTAGCCCACCAGGCTCCTCTGTCTGTGGGATGCTCCAGGCAAGAATACTGGAGTGGGTTACCATTTCTTTCTCCAGGGGATCTTCCTGACCCAGGGATTGAACCTGGGTCTCCTGCATTGGAGGCAGATTCTTCACTGTCTGAGCCATCCTGGAAGTCCCCCAGTATACAGTGAAGTGAAGTGAAGTCGCTCAGTCGTGTCCGACTCTTTGCGACCCCATGGACTGTAGCCCACCAGGCTCCTCTGTCCGTGGGATTCTCCAGGCAAGGATACGGGAGTGGGTTGCCATTTCCTTCTCCCCAGTATACAGTAGGTACAGACAAATACTGATTTGATTCCACATATATAAGGTACCTAGAACAGTCAAATTCATAGAGTCAGAAAGCACATCAGTAGATGCCAAGGGAAGGGACGTGGACGGGTGGGGAAGGGGGATGGCGAGTTAATGTTTAATGGGGACAGAGTTTCCCTTTAGGAAGGTGAAAAATTTGGGTGATGGATGATGGTGAGAGTTGCACAATAATGTGAATGTACTTAGTGGCACTGAACTGTACAGTTAAATATGGATTTAAAAAAAAGAAGAAAGTCCAGAAGAGGGAGGAAATGAGGATGCAGTGAAAGAGAATACAGAGAGAGAAACAAAGGCAAGTGCCGAGAGAGAGAGAGAGAGAGAGAGAGAGAGAGAGAGAGAACCAAGCCAAGACAGAAACAAGCAGAACTGACGAGAGAGATGGCGGAGAGGTTGATAAGGAAGGGAAAGCAGCAGTAATGATTGGAAGACTGGGAGAGAAACTGAGAGAGATGTCACGAGATTGAGATGATATTGAGAGAAAACGAGGTTGAGGGAGAGGAAAGAGAAAAGAGCCAGGGCTAGAAAACAGACAGCATGGAGCTGGAGCAGCAGAAAATGGAATGGGCCCTAATTTTGAAGCTTTGCCAACATCTGAACTTGCTCTTCTGCTATCAATTTTTCATCCGTCACTAAGACAAGCTGAAAGAGCTAAGCTTCAGGTTTTGTTGATTATAAAATGTTCCATTCTGATCTGTACTTTCCTGGATTTCTAAATGAACCACATGTAGTTAGAGAAAGAGAGCGAGGGAAGGGAGGTGGGGGGTGGGGAAGATGCTTGCCGCACCACTACGGATGGAAAATAGAGTCATTTAGTAACACCCCCGCAGGGCTGGAGGAGGCACTTCCTTACATATTAGTATCATTCCTTGGGGACAGGAAGCTCGGTGCCACATTAGGGCATCCTTTGCCCTGGGGTCGGCCCTGCCGCCTGCAGATCTCTCTTCTACCTGCTTTGTTTCTGCCAAATGCAGAGTCAGAGATCTGGCTTTACCAGGAGCTCACACTGATGACCCCCGCCCACGCAAACAAAACAACAACTTTCAGTCTCCTCGAGCGAAGCCAGGTCGAGCTGAGTGTGGGGAAGGGGGGCTAGACTCCAGGGTCTCTAATTGCTGACTTCCATGGGATTGTCCTCCCCACACCCCAGTGCCTGCAGCCTTTCAATCTGCAGCGCCCACTGCAGGACCCACCAAGGTGGCTGCGCTCGGAGAAGAGGGACAGAGTGAGGATGGGGAGGGGTGGCATGCTTCACTGCACCTCTCCCCAGAATGCAATGTGACACGAGACATCGGGAGGTGGCAGCGAAAGTTCAAGGGAAAAACACAGTTATTTATGGCTCGGGCATCTGTCGTCAGAGCAGAAACAGAGACCTCATCTCAGGCAAATCCTTGCCTGTACCAGAGCAGATGGGGAGGTGTGTGCAATGCTCAGTCCTGTTCAACCCTCAATTCATTATTATTCATCATCTCCAGATCCCATCTCCGAAGCAGACGTTTGTCCTGGCCATGATGCCAGCAGCCCTGGGTGGGTGGATCGGGAGACGAGTGTGTCCTTCTTTTGGATGGATAGTTATTTCCATCATGTGACTTGGAACCTTCTGTGTGAGGAGAGAAGGTTAAGGCAGGATCCAGAAAGGAGACAATGCAAAAAGGGAACAAAAGGAAAATTCCAGCCCAGAAAAACCACAGGCTGAATGGAAATGAAATTGGCCTGGGAGCCCATAGGTTAAGGATCTAATCTCCCTCTGCCCTACCTTGTAGTGTGACCTCAAGCAAGTCATTTTACCTGTTTGTCTGTCCACTTCTGCCAAATGCTGGAGATCCTGTATTTGCACATTCGCAAGGACTCACAAAGATGTCCACTCAACCTGGGCGTGATGGGGGAAAAAAATACCAAATCTGGAATCAGGAGATCTAGATTCAAGTCTTTATTTGGGTGACCAGTGAGTCACCCAAAGCAAAGCAGCTTCCACTGCTGACTCTTAGGCAAGAAAGAAAGGTCAGTTTATCTGGCCCTTTCCCAAGCTAGAAATCCCACAATTTCATGAGAAGGAAACCTGGAGATTATCAGAGGGCAAAAAAATGAATGAATTCTGAGGAACTCAGATGAAGCTCCTGAGCCCTTGTAAGTACTCACTCTATTGGTTGAACAAATGAATAACATCTCTAATGGTGACTCTGAGTTTGTGGCTCACTGGACTCAGGCTCACCAGGCAGCACAGACTCTCACCCCCCAGTGCTACAGGTGGACACCTTCTCCATCCCACACCACTCCCAAAACAACCTGCCTATCTGCCAAGACCTTCCATGTTGGCGTCCGCGTCTCCAAGGACACTTTTGTGGGGGAGGGCAGAGAAAGGGGGAGGACGGACAGGGTGGGGGTGGGCCACAGTGCGGAGAAAGGAGGCCTCCATGTGAATCTCCATGCCTGTACTGATTACGTTGCCTTTTAAACTCTTTAAAGAGGATGCTGTCATCCCAGGAGACACCTTACTTTTCCCATTTGAGATGCATCTTCTCAACTGAAAATATGCATCAACAAGCTCTGTATGTTTTATTGCAAAACAGAATTACATTTCCCGACCTGTCTAGATCCATTTACACTTGGGTCAGTGTGATTCCAAAGGCAGAACCTCTGAGGGTCCTCAGCGAAAGTCGAGGGGTTTAGCGTCCCCCGCCCCTGCCCCCAGGAGAGCAAGACTTTTTCCTTGATCAGATGGCAGGCACACTCAGTGGTACACCCTGGCCCCAGGAGGGCTACCTGCATCATGAACGCAGGAAATTCTGATGTCATAATAATGGTAAATAAAGACCTGGAGCGGAGCTTTAGGTAGACAGATGTTTTGATTGACTAGACACAGGTGTCTCTGTCTCCAGTGCCTGAGAGGTGGTGGGTGATGGGAGAATTGCATTTCAGCTCCGCTCCCAGGGGCTGTCAGCTGCAGAGCCTCATCTGTGCGCTTTGTATTCTTCTCACTGACAGGCAATCCAAAGGACTTAGGGCTGCCAGGGAGACTGTGCTAATTAACATTTGCAAGTGACCAAGCAAGACCTCACTGTCCCCAAGCTTTATCCCTTGCCTGGGGTATCGGGTGGAAGGGAGGTTAAGATGTGATTGGTCACCCCTCAATAAGGCCTGGCTGGGAAGTCTCTGGAGGCGCCTCTCGTGTTGAGATGGACATCTGCCCCCAGTCCAGCCAGACCCCTCAGCAAGAAGAAGTCAGGGCTCCATCTCATCCCCCGAGACTGCAGACCAGAAGCCTCCCAGGAAGACAGTGGCCGCATCTGCGGAGACAATGAGATGGCACTCCTCCTCCAGCCCCGGGCAGCCTCTGTCAGCAGCCTGATCCTCCACAGTTGGTTTTGCCTATGTTGGCACCTGCTTGCAGCTTACACCAACTAACGTCTGTCAGTGGACTAATTATCATCAAGGATAAGGCATTAGGAAATTATGAATGTGTAGACACTTCTGTTCTCATACCAACGGTTTGTGTATTTAATGGTTTGTTTATTATGTAATGGTTTGTTTATTTTACCGATGGCATCTGTCCTCATTTGAACCTCCAAAGTGCAAATTGGATTTGTACTTACCTTTATTTTGGGTTTTCCCCACCTCTGCTGTCCTTGGTTTTCTATCGCCCCCAATAAAAGTGGCAGTCATTGTTTAAATACGTGGATAGTAGGTAGATAGATAGATAGAAAGGGAGGGAGGGAGGAAAGAGGAAGGGAGGGAGGGAAGGAGGGATGGAGGAAGAAAAAAGAAAGGAAGGAGGGAAGGAAGGAAGGGAAGAAGAAAAAGGTTTTTAGGGTAATAAAAGCTCCGGAAATCACATTTATTGAAGGAATTTTATGTTTGGCTTGGAAAAGAGAAAGTTTAAGTGGAACATGATAACTGTCAAGATTAGAATTATCTTTTTAAAGCTATTCTTCTAAAGTATGACATGTACACATGCAGAAAACTATGAGAAATAAATACATAGCTCATCTTTTTAAACTATCTTGTACCCACACCCTGGTTGAGATCTATACCATGCCAGCCCCCTTCCTCCACTGCTGGCATCTTCCCAATCATTCCCTGCTTCCTGCTCTCAGAGGTCACTACAATCCTCACATTTGTCTTCTACGGCAATTCATTTTTAAAAACTTTTGTTTATGGCTCATCATTTAAATATATAGCACAAACAATATAACATATTTTTGCCTGTTTTTTGAACTTCAGGTAAATGGAGATGTACTGGGTACCAACTTCCTTTGCTTAACACTGTGTGTGTGTTTTAAGATTCATCCATATTGTTGCTTGCAATTGTGATTTGTTCACTTTGTAGTGTATGGCATCCCCTTGTATTAATATATCATAATATTAATGTGACCTAATGTTAGTGTCTATTTGGCCTATTTCCAATCTGGGGAAATGCCAAGTTGCCAGTGCTGCTATGAACAGCCTCACTTGTGTTTCCTTGTACCTGTGTGCATCCGGAGGGTATGCACCTAGGAGGGGAATTTCTTGGTCATAGAATTTGCATCACTTTAACTCCATCAGATGACAGTAAACGCTGCTTTTCAAACTGGTTGTTCTTTCCATCCCATGAGCAATGATAAACTTTGTACTTCTGTGCACTTAGCACGTCTTTTTTGCACACTTGCTACTGCCTACCTTCATATTTCCTGCCCTATGGTGAGTATATAGAGACAGTCCCATGTGGCTTTAATTTGCATACACCTGGTTATTAATGAAGTTATCACCTTTCCCTGCATTTATTGGCCATTGGTAATACCATTCTATTCTGCCTATTTTCTTCAACCAGTTGTCCTTTTTGCTTCTCATTGTTTGGAGGAAATCCTGGTATGTCATGAAGTAGAGTCCTCTGTCAGATGTTTATGCATCCATTCACCCTAGTATGTGGCTTGCACTCTACATCTTAATGGAGACTTTGGAAGAACAGATTCATAATTTTAATATTGTCAAAAGTATCAATCTTTTTATTATAAGTAATTCTTTTTGTCTTATTTAAGAAATTCTTTTGCACATACTTCAGATTCTACATTGACATGTATATGAGCTTGACATACATGTGTATGTGTATATGTAGATAGATAGATAGATAGATAGATAGATAGAACTCTAGTAGTAGAATCAAGGCTAATGTATGTGCTGCTATGAGGAAGCACATTCTCAAAGTAGAGAATATTTTCTCTAACATTTCTAACATTTCATGGACAGCCATGAAGAGAGTGGGTTAGAACTCCCCAGGAGTGATACAGGGGAGGTCTGTCTCTATGGCCGATTCAAGCACTAAGATTCTAAGGCTCTAATTAGAAATAAAATCTACTTTGATGAATGCTCAGTTATAACCAGTAGAGGGCTTCAGCCATGCCATAAGTTAAGTCATGATACACTTGAGCGTTTATTTAAATAAACAGACATGAATGCATGTACCCCTCACTCCTGTCTTAACATTGGGTCTGACCATTTATTGCCTGGCCACAGGGCTTCTCTGTCCTCATTACCTGCACCTAGTTCAGAGCAGAGTTCCCAGTCCATGCAAGGTCATCTCACGCTGCTGGCTAAGTTTACAGGCAGTGGTGGAAAATAGAGTTTATTTCAGGCTAACTCAATTGGTGGTGGTTGTCTGCAGGGCAGGACTAAGGCTGAGAGGCAGCAGAGGCGGCAAAGCTGGGGCTTCATCTAAAAGATCCCAGCAAAGAAGACGGCAGAGAGATCAGCCCAAGGATACGGGATGCCCTGGAGGCCTCACCCTGAGCTGCGTGGGCTCCAGAGAACGGAGCTGCAGGTACGCAGCATGGCCTCTGCTAATGCTCGGACAGCAGAGGAGATCTAATCCTAATCCTTCAAATGCAGGCCTTCCCCAGGTCTGTTTGTCTTCCCCTAATCCTCTAATATTTAAAGCAATTTCAATCCTGTTTGAAGAGACTTCTCAGCAGTTTGAGTCTGGGGCCTCTGGAGGGAGAGAGGTAGGGAAAAAGGCAACAGAAGGGGAAGGGAGGAGGAGCAGGAGTGAGAGTGAGCCCCAGAGACACGGCAGCGTGGGGCAGGAAAGGTCCGGGAAGATAACAGCCTGCCAACACTGCTGAGTTACATCCTCCTGAAGCTGCCGTCCCAAATATAGCATCTTCACAATTTCTAAGAGAGTGCAGATGACAAGGGAGGAAAAGAGGGAAGGTCTTGGGCTAAGATCTGGGCCTTGAAATATGGAGCTCATTCATTCATTCAATCAGGCAGTCAGTCAACATAACATGTATTGAGCATCTACTGTGTGACGCTATATCCACACTAACCTTGAACAGATAATTACCAGAATCATTTTAATTACAAAGGAGAAATGCAGGATGCAATGGGAGCCTATACAGGGTACCCAAACTTGAGATCAGATCAGATGTGTCTATAGAAGGAGCAGAGAACTGCAGGCTATTTTTACCATATCACTTATAGTTTTTGCTCCATGTTTAAAAAACAAAAACAAACAAACAAACAAAACCCCACTATCCAAATGATCCCTGTTCTTCTATCCTGGTGTCCTTTTATCTCTAGAATCTCTTGGCTTTTGCTCCATCAGCTTGGACTAGGCAAATCAGAGTGACAATGTGTGGGACTCTGCCATGTTCCAGGCAGCACATTATAAGGGGCTGGGAGAAAGCAGTATCCCAGAGGGATGAAGGGAGTAGCTCAGCCTAGCAAGGCAAGTGATGGTTGAAGAACAGTCTCCTTTCTTACACCTTGTTTCAAAAGCCAGAGAACAGAACACATTTCTGAGCAGAACATTCTCATTAGAGAACATTTGTCTGTTTCAGGTAATTGAGGGTCCCTCCAAAGTCACACTCTTTCACAAATGTTTAACAGAGATGATAG